GCAGTTCCCTAACTGAGATACTGAATACTCACACAGAACTATTTCAAGCAGAATGTGCAGACAAATTAGGAAAAGGTAGTATAGACTAAGCTTAACTCCCTAACCTAAGTATACAAGATTAAAATTAATATTTTCTCTTCCCTGGGAACTTTTCCATCTATCGCCAAACCAGAGTACGACAGTAAAATATACCTTTACGTCGACCTGTTTGTTTGCCGGCAGGCTGCGATTAATGACGGGAATTCCACAGGCTCGAAGTATAAGTATCAATCTATTGTCCAAATTAAACTCCTCCCTTTCCTTAGTTTTTACCCAACCCTCAAGATGATGGCTTAAGCTCCTCCTCCGAAGTACCTATCAAATCACATTAGCTAACAAGTGGCCTGTCAGTCAATTCTGGACTGACATCCCTAGAGCAAACATTCTTAAGTGCCCCAATCTAGTTTACACCGAATCTAACTGGCCGGTGTGAAAGACGGTCAGTGAGGCCATTGTGTTTCCTACGTGACCAAGATCAAGATAAAACATTCCTAATTGCCAAACACCTGTTCTCTCCAGAATTACACTGACGTGTTAAACTGTAAACTTCTCCTCGCCTCAATGTCTACAGTCCGCTCAATTCGTGTTAGGTAATCTTTTATGACCTACGGTCCAGCTCAGGTGTGATGCTAAGTTCCCCGTTCGCTGGCCTCTACAGTCTGGTCAGGAGATAACATTCTGACACTGGCATGAGAATAGAATTCCTAGCTACAGTGTAAAGTTTTAGGTAATACTACCCAAGGTTGGGTTGCTTTGTCTGGACTAAGGACTGGAAACGTTTAAATCAATACGGTTTAAAGTACCATTTGGTTTAAGGGCATAGTCTCTTGTCTCTCAATAACCAGAAGAACTTATTACAAGTACTAACTTCTGGAATCACTGAGATCGTTTCGTGACACTCACTATGGCAGTCAGCTTATGGTCTCGGGTTTGTTTACACTAAACTGTCTGTGGATATCTGTGGAAATTATTATGTAGTCTACTCGATTGAACATGATCCCCAGGTCTTTTCCACGTCTATGCAGAATATTAAAATGATGAGTTACTTGTTATAATAACGTGAGAGACCTTGATACCTTGCCATTCCTTTCACCTAGGGTCATAGCCATCATTCATATCGACGACTTTGCGTTGCCTAATTTTGGTACTTAAATGCCCGAGTTTTATAGTTAATTAAAAAGTCTGTGTCTGTATTGTCATGCCAGGAAAAGGGGGCAGTACAAGAACTGATAACGCTGTTGGAGAGCACAAGATGATGTGAAGAAGCGTGATCGCCACGACAGTCGGCAGTTAAATAGTGTGCATGGTTTTATTGGTTAGAAAAATCAATGTCCACGAAACGGATGAATGAACCCAGGTAAGTGGGGAGGGGAACGGGTTTTCCTGGAATGCGATTAAATAATTTCAGTGGATCGAAGGAGCTCATACAATGCACGCTGCACAACTGTGGCCAGGTTTCTAAGTAACCGTGTTAGTGTGCCTCTGTCTTGTTCTTATTTAAAGGTTGCAGTTTCAGTTTGTCGTGGTTGAACCTTTCAGGCCGCGGACACGCTTTCTCACATTGCAAGTCTCTAGTGGTTCCCTGGTAAGTCTCCGTTGCCTAGAGTTGTAGTACAGCGACTTTTAGTTATGTATAATTACCTAGGCATGATATCAACATTATTGTCAGCAGCATTATCCTCGAATTCCTCACCGACTGAAGTGGGCGATCATGCTTCTCTCCACATCCTGCGACCTCTAAGATTATCTATCATGTCGTGTGCCAAAGGTACTAAAGAGTCTTCTCTCGTTGGATTACCTCTACGTGCATACGTGTTCCCATCCCCCGCACCCCCCTGCGCCTGCCTAGTTTGTTTCCCTTTCATAATTTTGCCAAGAAACACCGGTGGCCAGCAAAACTTATCACATGTAAAAACATATACAATATTCATTTTTGATGTCCACTTAATTGTCAGCGTTCTTTTGTAAAAAGCACATCTCCAAGGAGTTCTAGCGGTTGCGGATTCACAGCCATGTTAAAACAAGTTCTGTGTAACATATGTAATAAGATTGTGCAATTTTCAGTGACAGGTATTATACAACTATTGCAGTTTTTAGACTACGTAACAATTCACACCTCTCCTCACAATGTATCAGAGTACCTGTGCGAGTGTGTGTGTGTCATTATGTGTGTTTGTTGTATGCCTGTATGAACGTATGTATGTTTTGCGTACAAGTGTACATGTGTGGGATCATATATGCGTGTATATGTGTCTTCGTGTCTTCTATGTATATGTGAGTATACATATTGTGTGTATGTATGCATGCATGCATGTATGTATGTATGTATGTATATACGAAAATACTTATGTGTGTATGTATATATGTACGTATGTAAATACGTACGTATGAATGTACGCATGCATATAAGCATATGTTTGCTAACCATGCTTTTAGATATTTAGTCTATATTTATATTCAGTAAATTGCTTATGGCATATAACATGCTTTGTAAAAAAAATACAATAGATGAGTGTTTGGAAGGGCCGAATGTAAAACGAGGCTGCATGCCAAAATTATTACCCTCTGACAATAAAATTCGTTATTTTGATCCGACATTTGTTGTTTTCGAAAATGACCTTGGCTTTCAATTCGACCCAGCCTTAAATGGGTACTAGACAGTGTCTTGGGAAGTAAGGGTGATCAGCGTAATGTTGACCGCATCACTGACAGGAAGTAAGGGTGATCAGCGTAATGTTGACCGCATCACTGACAGGAAGTAAGTGTGATCAGCGTAATGTTGACCGCATCACTGACAGGAAGTAAGTGTTATCAGCGTAATGTTGACCGCATCACTGACAGGAAGTAAGTGTTATCAGCGTAATGTTGACCGCATCACTGCCCGGAAGTAAGTGTGATCAGCGTAATGTTGAAAACACTGACCGAACGCTGAATGGTCTACAAAATATAGGTCCAGCCCTATATGTTCAGTGCGCCGGAAGACTAGGACAAGGATCGTTTTCTGAGTTTAATTTCGTTGGTTCAGCCGCCATTGTTGCCGCACCGCCGAGACATACTCTCCGACATTGTTGCCGCACCGCCGAGACACACTCTCCGACATTTTTGCCGCACCGCCGAGACATACTCTTCGACATTGTTGCCGCACCGCCGAGACATAGTCTCCGACATTGTTGCCGCACCTCCGAGACATACTCTCCGACATTGTTGCCGCACCGCCGAGACATGCTCTCCGACATTGTTGCCGCACCGCCGAGACATACTCTCCGACATTGTTGTCGCACCGCCGAGACATACTATCCGACATTGTTGCCGCACCGCCGAGACATACTCTCCGACATTGTTGCCGCACCGCCGAGACATACTCTCCGACATTGTTGTCGCACCGCCGAGACATATTCTCCGACATTGTTGCCGCACCGCCGAGACATACTCTCCGACATTGTTGCCGCACCGCCGAGACATACTCTCTGACATTGATTTCTCCCTAGTGGCTGTCGTGGTGTAGCGGCTAGACGCTCGCCTGCGGATTGGAAAGTCGTAGGTTTGCGTCCTGACGGAGCCAGACTTTTTTTTCGAAAAGGATCTTTCCTTTCAGGTCGACCCAGCCTTGAGTGGGTACCAGGTATAGTCGTGGCAATTAAAGGCGGTCAGCGTGATGTTAACCACATCACCGACCTAGTGCCGATTGATCTTCACAATATGAGTCCAACCATAAAAGCCCAGTGCGCCTTAAGACGGAGAACTTTTAACCACCAATTTCCCATTAAATGGTGTTATGGTAAGGGTTGGTGACGTGAGGTGAGTCCTCTTAACTACTTCACTGACCAGCCATGTTAGAATCCAACATGACGGTCAGGACGACGACCACCCAGACGTGAATGCAGACAAACAATATTCGATGTTTTCCCACCCTCTTCCCCTCCCGCTTTCCATTTCCTCTAACAAAATTCACACTGCACTATCAGTTCATCATATGACTCCTCCCGACTAACCCCTCCCCCCTCCTCGCCCTCCCCCTTCCATCGATCAGTGTGTCTTCTCTGAGAGCACGTGAGTTTCAAGGCACATCAGGTACAACTCAGTGCAGTAGACTGCCCCACAAACCACAACAATCGTCACCATCGAGCACTTGAGTTTCTGAGCATGAGAGTCCCAGCAGACGACAAGTATATTCAGGGGATTTGTTACTTAGGTACATCAGAGCTCATCCAAAAATCCCAGTCCCCACAACCGAAGCGCTTTACGACCAGTAACGCACAGAATCATTCAGTCTTCATTTCATTTACACCATCATGACATGCCTAACCCGCTTTTATTGCAGGAAGACAACTATAAGAATGACCACAATGGTCACATGTGAGAATTTGTCACAATTTCTGGTCTATCCAAACACAAAAACTGTTTTCAGTACTATTTGGCAAAGAAGTAAATTATTCAAAATTGTAAAACTATAAATGGTGGTCCAGAAGGACGTTATGTGGAAAATTTGCTCTCCTACGAGATAGGCCTGGCTAGAATAGAAGGAGCAAGACACAAGTAGAAACACCAAGAAGGAAAGGGCAGGAGGAACTCACCCGGACACAGAAAAGTATCTTGGAAGGTCGGAAGATTAAGCCACATAACTGGCGCAAACACCAGACCTTTAGCCACGAAAGTGGGACAAATAAACTAGACCACAAATATAACCAGAGGCTGTAAGCACCTTCAGCTGCTGACAGCAGTTTGAACGTGGCTCTGAAAAAAAACATGGACATGGACCGAAGAACGCAGACAACGCCAAGTTAGATCTAGTATTGCTTCAGTCAGACACAGCAGTCTGAGAAAGGTTAAATGTGAGAGACCAAACTGATATATTTACGTGTAAGTTACAACAACTGATAAAAGATAAGGAATTATGTTTTATTATTGAATATATCTTTGTTGATTTATTGCGCAGATTTGCAAACAAGAACAAACTGTCAATGACGAAAAAGACTGAGTCAACTACACCTGAAATGGCACCACCGCCATATAATTATGATCAAGCGCAGGGCCACCAGCCTCCACCCCATCAGTCTGGTTATCCACCACCACATCAGCAACAGTATTATCCACCACCACATCAGCAACAGTATTATCCACCACCACATCAACAACCGTATTACCCACAGCCTCTGATGCAGCAAATGGTAATATGCCAAGTTTACTTCTTGTAATCACTGAAAGTGGAGCCAGGTACTAACTGCAATGAATTTCAGGTAGAAGCACATTCAGTTACACACATTTCCTGCCAGATAAAAAAAAAATAAAACCAAAATTATTTCTACTTTCAAATTATTTTGAAATGTAAAACAATATATAATATGCAAAATTTATTTATCTAGAGAGTTTGTGAAATGACATCATATTCCCACATTCTTCTTCTTCAGCATTCCGAGCCCTTGAAGTTCATTGCTACAAATATCCCCAGCCTCCACTCATCTCTTTGGTTGGCCCTCTCTTTCCAGTTGGTGACACCAAGCGTTTGCAGGTCATTCTGGATATTATCTCTCTATCGTCTTCTTGGTCTGCCTCGTAATCTACAACCATTTATCTCCCTTGTGTATAAAGTTTTTACTTCTCGGTCATCTGACATTCTTTCAATATGTCCCAACAATTTCAGTCTATTAGCTCTCATGATGCCAGTGATTGTTGGTGATTTAAACAGATTATGAATTTCGTTTTTGCTTCTCACTTTCCATTCTCCGCTGTTTGCATCTTTTATGGGTCTAAAGATTCGCCGTAAGACTGTTTTCGAACACCTGTATTAAGGCTCCATCTCGTTTAGTTGTGCTTCATGCCTCAGAGCCATACAACACGACTAGTCTTATGAAAGTTTTATATATTTTGATCTTGATGTTGCGAGACAGACACTTTGACTTTAGCAGATGTTGAAGGAAATAGCATACTTTATTTCCAGCTTGTATTCTAGATTGTATTTCTTCTCTCAGCATGTTGAAGTTTGCACCCAAGTACTTATATGTTTCTGTTCGTTTTATTTTCATATTATCGACTTGTATGTGGCCGGAGTTTATATCCTGTCCCTCTCTAGTTATTATCATATGTTTTGTCTTATCTTGATTGATAAAAAAAATATTAAAATAAAATAAATAAATATTTCCATTTTAGTTTTTTTAAAAAGGTGAGAAAGTAGTTGGGTAACTGCACTTCCGTGTGCAAGTATCTTGGTAACTGCACTTCCGTGTGCAAGTATCTTGGTAACTGCACTTCCGTGTGCAAGTATCTTGGTAACTGCACTTCCGTGTGCAAGTATCTTGGTAACTGCACTTCCGTGTGCAAGTAAGGCACTCTTATCCGTGCCTTCAGGCGTATCGGACATACAGGACGAGACCTTTATTGTATAGACCAACTGGCACTTGGTGGGTAGCAGGTCAACATCACGCCGACAGTCTTTACTTCTCAGACTTTGCCTGGAATCCATTTCAGACTGCGTCGACCTAGGATTTAAGGTAAAAAAAAAAAAGAGTCCGATTACGCCTGGACCTAAACCCACCACCTTGGGATCGGCAGGCTCGAACCGCTGCACCAAGGCGGCTGGCACTAATGTGTGTACAGAATGGAAAATATACCAATATATGTATCAAGGACACGGCCGAATTGCTTCAAAGTACACATGTTCCTGAAGTAAGGCGCTGTCGTCATTTTGGGGTGAAATGTTTTTCCCCCCGGCCTGGTAACTATGGCTTTATATACATATAAAGCTGATGTGATTTTGAGTGTCCGCCTTCCTATGCTTCTTTCCTTTACATGTACGAGAGCTTTTACTATATGTTAATGTGTGAATGGCGCCAGGGATTTGTTTCTACCTGTTTGCGAGGGTTACATGTGTTGGTACCTACAGGAAGTGTCATGGTCGTTGGTAGGTAATATAACTCTGTTATGTGCGTCTTGTGGATTTGTTACGTCTGTACACCACCAAATGTTTCTCCTTGGAGATCTGCTGAGTGGGAGGGCAGGAACGGAGGAAAAACGTAATCCATACTGTCTGTAGTACTGTAGAATACCTGGGTGTTGAGATGCTGTTGTCATACATTATGTATCACAATGATGTGTCTCAGCATATAATGGTCTCGGACGCACATACTGCTGTTATATGTCTAAGGATAGTAAGAACCTGTATGTGAGCTCTGTCATATTGTATTTAGATATAAAAAGATGAACTTGAATGTGAATGCTGCTAACAGGTGGGCTTTATTTTCTTCTTGCCAGCAATCATCCCATAATGTGACAATCGTCAACAACACACCTGGTACTAACACGGTCATTGTGAAGTAAGTGTTGCTTTTACAGTATTGATTTACAGCCTGTTGGTTGCTGCCGTGTGGCTGAAGTTGTTGACGTACGAGTCTCATCTTACCCTCCACGCTTGTTAGCGTGGTAATCAATTATTCTAATTCCTGTCCTAAAGTATGTAACGGTCCCATTGACACCAGCGACCGCTCTGACATATGGTATTAATGATATTTGAACAGACAGTCGACACTCAGCCGCCTTGACTTTTCATATCTCTACCTGGTACATATTTAAGGTTAGCTAGCCCTGGGAGACAAGATCGATTTTAAAGAATTAAAAAAATATATATATATACCATCTGGGTGCGGTTTCAAATCAGACACTCGGCCAAACAGGCTAGCGTCTTGCAGCTCTGCTACCGTAGCCACCACAATCCCCCATTCGATTGACTGCGATTGATCTTGATAACCCAGCCTAAAATCGGTAAAATGTAATTTCCCATAGAAATATAATGCGACAGGTCTAAAATTGTCCGTGGTATCCACCCAGTGTCAACTTCAAGATCGCGTCGCGCAAAATCAGTTAAATCATTTGACTAACCGCCTTTTGACTACTGTCAGCTTCTGGCAACACCGCGTTTGGGCGTTAGCGAGAAGGTCGCACACTTTACCTACCCCAGTGTTCACCACAAGCTTGATTTGTTTTACTGGGGAAATATTAGGGTACAATGTTAAGGTAGGCACACGCTACACACACACACACACACACACACACACACACACACACACACGCGCGCACGCACGCACGCGCTCTACCAACACACACCAACACACACACACGCACCCTACCCACATACACCAACACATACACACATATACATGCACGCACACACGCGCCCCACCCACACACGCAATATATTTTTGTGGGTTTTATCCGTGACGGCACGCAGTAACCTGTTTCTGAACGGTGAGAGAACAATAATAATTAGCAGACAACAGCTGCATGTCACTTATAACTAAAAATAGGTGATAAATTAATTGAATTTAAAGTTTCCATAATGTGTCGCAAATCAGAGTATCCAACCGAAGTTAAATGGAGGATGGCCATAACAATGTAAAAATTAAACAGTAACAATAATGAAATTAAAAATCATTAGAGAAAGAAGATTATTATGGCCTGGAAAGAATGAGGCACATGGATGAAACCAGAGAGTCTGGCCGGCTCACTACACTCAGAGGAAAGGCAAGACGAACACATAACCAGATTGTGACCGGTACCATCCTTAATGGAACTCTGCGCTGGTGGCTGAAGATGAGGACGGAGCACGCATGGGAATGACCCGAGTGCTGTCAATTCTTGATTCAACTCAACTTAATGAAATTAAAGTCAAAACGTTGAGCCGTGGACTACCTAGCATTGATTCTTTCTTAAGGAAGAAAATGTGGGATTTTGAGCTGAAATGCTACAGGAAAATTCTCAGAATACCATGGAACAAGGACAAAAGATTTGCTAACCTCAATGAAGATGGGCATCCTGTCTCGGAAACTGAAAAATTTTGGCCATATCAAGCGCTACAGCGGACTGGAAAGAATAATAGCAGAGAGGCAGCAGTCGACCAACACGAAGTTGGGCATAGGATATAATTGACACATTGGGTAGGAAAGTGCACGAGGCAGGAGAGCTGGGGAGAGGCCAAGTTTCTTTCAGATAGATGATGATGTGAGTGATGTTCACTCACTTGGCAAAGAACTTGCCACCGACCACTTGGCGTCATGAAGCCGAGAGATGACATTCACGTCAACGATGCGGTTACTGCCACCGTGAACCTGACATCAGGGTATGCCAACAAACCAGTTTACCTGCACAACAAATAATACCAGCAAGTAACCATCACAGAGAAACTATCAGCTTTTGTCTCGCAGCACATTTCCAGCAAAAGTCAAGTTCTAATAGACCAGCAAGGGACAAGGACAATTAGTAGCCTAATCAGCAGCATGCTAGAGGACGTGCTGGGACGTCGCCCAGCTCCGGAAGAGAAAAGATGGTATGGCTGCTACTTTATTCAAGACTTGCAAACTGATCAGTGACATCAACAATAACAAAAAACCCGAGATCCAACTGCCACACGAGATAACATTAGTGACCAGTATGTTGCAGCACTTGGGATAGTGGATGATTTAACGCCTCAAGACAGACCTTGCCAACGGCCGATTAAATGGCAACTGCAAAGCGAGAACCTAAACATACGGTTCGACGAAGCTAAATGGATAATGAACAGAAACACTGTCCCTCTCCAAAGTTGTGATGGTCACATTTAAAGGAACAAACATGCCTAGCTCCGTGTTATACGACAAGAGATCTCAACAAATAGAATACCACATTTAAAGATGCTGGAGTGGCACACAAAGTCTTCTAGATACAGCAAAACAGAAGCCTCTCATTACTGTGCAGGTGCACATTCTTTCAGCGTGTGCCTCTGGCCAACTCCCGAAAGCCCAACCCAAACACAAAATGCACAAACAGTTTCGGTAACCATGGAGCCAGATGTCCTGGCCACCCATATATGTAGGGGTGCCAGAATACAATGAAAATGGCGACTACAGCTAACTTCCCTATAATGAAACATAAAGGAGAAGCACACAAGGAGAACAGCTTCAAGGCCTGACAATGCAAATTAATTTATTCCTTTCGCCCGCCCAAGAAACATGTGTATGTGTGTATGCGCGCGCGCGTAGGTGCGTGTGTGTGAATATGTACGTGTGAAAAAAATATGTAACATAAAATATACAGGATAACTACATTTGTGGTTGATAATTGCTGAAGGAGAAGAAGAAAAACTACTCTTTCGAAGGAGCGTCCCTGGAGTGTTGCTTCCTCTGTGTAAAAGTTGGTTAACTAGCTCGTGGCAATGTTTCTCACGTGAACGATGATACACACAGATGGTGATGAGGAAACAAACTCACGGTTTCATTTAGTTGACTAATGTTATAAAGATAACATGATCTAGTCGCTGATCTAGTCTTCTGATTTCTTGCATGTACTGAGATTCAATAAGTAAATATTACAATATACTTGTAAGATATTCACAATCGTTATCTTGCAGTCCTGGCCCATTATTACGCAACGCACAGGCGACGATTTTGCATCTACAGCACTCTGCTGCCAATCTTCACAGTCTGGCGGGGTGTAACTTGAATAATTTCTGATCAGGCATTCATCTTGAGAAATCAGACTTCTTCCCACGTCGTCAGATACAGTTCGTAGCAGTCAGACCTTTTTAACACGTCTTAGTTACACTTCATAGCATTCACACGCTTCTCGAACTCACCAGTCACTCTCGTTATCAAACACCAACTAACTCTGATCTTGGATTTACCTCTCAAACTGTTCTTTGGTTTCCCCGTGCTGTCCCCGTTAAACCAGTGATTTTGTGAGCGGTTTGCTTTCTCGCGTCCTGTTTCCTTGACCCTACATACCTATCTTGGATCCCGTTGGGAAATCACCTCATTACACAATAACGTCGGGCAGCTGTGTAGGTATTTCGTGGTTTTATTTTTCTTCTTGTCTTCTTCTTCTTCAGCGATCTCTGGTCATGCGCATAATCCACTGTGGGTCATAAACTGGGATGTCTTTTCAAGGTCTTTTAGGTTTCCCCAAAGCTTAGTTGTCAGTTCTACTGGGTGTTGCCATATGTCGCTCCGCAGCTCCGCCAGGAGAGGACAGTCTTGCAGGACATGTTCTGGAGTCTGTTCAGCACGAAGGCACTGGCAGAGAGCTGTTTGGCTCATACCTAATTTATGTGAGTGTTTATTGAGTCTGCAGTGTCCAGTGCGTAAGCGAAAAACTGTGACTTGGTATGTTCTGTTCAAGTGTTTCAGAAAATCTTTTCCGTAGTTATAACCAGTGTTGGTTTTCCAATCTGTTTCTGATTTTCTATTAATGAGAGTTTTGACTTCTGGAAAAGATAGTGGCTGGTAGGTCTGTGGTTTGTTACTGCCTTCCTTGGCTAAAGCATCTGCGCTTTCATTGCCTTTGATGCCACGGTGAGACGGAATCCGCTGCAAGTGAATTTCTGCCTTTTTTGACAACATGGCAAGTTCTTGTGTTAGACTTTGTAGTGTGCTGTCGGTAGGTTTGGACTCAAGGGCCTTTATAACTGACAGTGAGTCAGTGAGAAAAACTATCCTGCCTGCGGTGATTTGCAGATTGTTCATATACTGTGCTGCCATCAATAGGGCTGAGAGTTCTGCCTTGTAGTTAGAGCAAGTTCGTCCGGTGGGGGCTGCTAGGGACACAGTAGTGGCGTCTGGGTGTTTTATGTACACACCTGCCCCACCCTTCTTAGTTGCCTCTTTTGCTGATCTATCCGTGTAGATTCTCGTCCAGCTGTCCTGTGGGAACATGTTGTTGAGGTGTTCGATTGTGAGTGCTTTCTTCACTAAAGCGGGCTCAGCATCTTTGTTTCCCAGGTTCGGGATGGATGTTGACACATTGAGTGTCAATAATTCGGAGTCCCAGAGATCGAAAGATAGCTCTTCAGGTGTACATTGTTGGTTAAGTAGTGAAGAGAATGACTTTATTCGGTTTTTTGTCCTGGCTGCCAATTTTTCGTGTAATGGGTGGTTTAGCATTCTCTTCATTTTTTCAGCATGTAGAATTGCTTTTGTCCTTCTTCTTTCTTCTAAGAGGATGATGTTGGCTGCCTTTTCCATTTCTACAATAGGTGTAGATTTTATGGCTCCCAGAATTGTACGCAGACTTCTATTTTGCGTTTTGTCTAGTATCTGTTTATTGGAATGGGCTGCTGTTATCCATGACGATGATGCGTATTCGAGAGTTGGTCTGACTGTGCCGGTGTATACCTGTTTCAAGATACAACTGTCTGCTCCCCAAGTGGTGCCTGCCAATTTCTTCATCACACCTTGTTTTCTCATAGCTTTTTTGTTAGTTTCTAGTATGTGATGTTTCCATGTCAGACGACTGTCAAGCTTGACTCCCAGGAAGGTTGGAGTATTGGAGCGTGGAACATCATCATTGTTGAATTTTAATGTAAACTTTTCCTCCTTTGTAGACAATGAGAAGAGTGTTGCTACAGTTTTGTTCCTGTTTACTTCGAGGCCCCATTTGTTAGCCCAGTTTATGACACTATTCACACTTTCCTGGAGTTTTGAAATGGCAGGTCCAATGAACTCAGAGGTGTACCACACAGCTAGGTCATCTGCATGAAGAGAATGTGATACATGTCTGGGTAAAGCTTGAGGTAGGTCGTTGATGTAGATCAGGAACAGGACTGGAGACAGTACACTACCCTGTGGTACTCCTGCTCTCAGCTTGAATCTGGGACTATGTGCTTCATCTAGTTTCACAGATGTCCGCCTGTGGGATAGGAAGTCTTGTATCCAGTAGTACATTCTGCCTCTTATTCCACTATGTAAGAGCTTTAGCATAAGCCATCCTTTCATACTTTGTCAAAGGCCTTGGGCATATCAAAAAAGACTGTGAGGGTTTTCTTCTTTTCCTGGAAGCCATTTTCTATGTCCTGTGTAAGGTATGCTACCTGGTCATCAGTGCTTCTGTGCTGTCGGTAGCCTGTCTGAGCCGAATCAAGTTTGTGATTGGTTTCTAGGAACCACTGAAGTCTGGTGGCTAGCACTCTCTCTATCAGTTTTGCGGGGCAGCTTAGCAGACTGACAGGCCTGTAGCTCTGAGGGTCCATCTTGTCCTTGCCACTTTTTAGGATAGGGTGGATTATAGCATTTTTCCAGATATCTGGGACTCTGCCTAGTTTCCAGCTATAGTTGTATATCTGGAGTAAGATGTTTTTTGCTACTGGACCCATATGTTTGAGCATGTCGTTTGAAACTTCGTCTGGGCCAGGTGCCTTCTTTGACTTGAGTTTTCTCATTGCTCTTAGTAGCTCAGTTAGAGTGATGTCTGTCTCTATGCATGGCTCACAAGAGGCTTTTTTGAATATGGAGTTTATCCCATCTCGGACTGCTTTCTTTTGCTCCAGGGTTACTGAATATGAGCTTTTTTTCTCATAGTTTCGGGCAATCAGAGTCGCTGCTTCCTTCCCTGTGAGTAGATTTCCTTCTTGTTGGAGAACTGTTTTTCCATGAGATGGGTTGTCATCATTAAGTGCCTTTGTCAGTCTCCACAATTTTGTGGTGTCTTTTTCCATGTTCAGAGAAGCAGTCTTTTCTTTCCAGGACTTTCTACACTGTAGGTTTCTTTCTCTGACATAGAGAGCCCTTGCTTTGTTGTGTTGCTTCACACGTTCCTCTAGTTCTCTCTTTTTGTTAAATACACCTTCGGCGTTCCACTGCATGATTACGAGTGGTGAAAGTGTGTCCTCGCAGTTAGAAGTGACACCCTGTCCTCCCCTAGCAATGCAGGAAGCCACAGGGCTGTTGGTGGCTAAGGGTAAACCTGTTTGAGAAGTGAGAGCTATTGAATAAATATTTGCGCATGGTCATTGAGTTAACCGTATGTGTCGATTCCTCCACACCAAATAAATGGTTGACACATTCCGTTTCTGGGGACAGCTTTTATCGAGTTTGCTCTCTATACAGTTGCAGTCCCCTGCTGACGAGATTCTGTCTTCCCGAGTGGACCGCCGCGATCAAAACATTGCGAAAGCAGTGTGGCCGAGGCTGCCAAGACTATCAGTCATTATCCCGCCCCGACACAGCACAACCACAATACACGCTGTTCCCACTAAAAACACATAATATCCTGCGTTGGAAATGCGCATAAAATAACAGTCCATGATTATGAAACAGAATAATCCGAGAGAATTGACAGCCAGTGAAAATAAACACAGCTGCTGTCCGCCATTTTGAAAACGGAAGTGTATCTTCTTGTCTGTATCCTTGAATGTTGTTCGATTGCTGGCTTGATAGCTAACAATAATTGTTCGCATGCATTCTCGTAACACTTGAGACCTTTGCTTCGTTAACATAATCACTTCTTTAACCACATCAGTCGTCTCTAGAGCATATTTGTGTCTTTAAGATCTACATATTGCAGATCTAGCCATGTCGTTCTACTTGGCGAGATCAGTGTCAAAGAGCTACTTGTTGCCATAAAGGCAGTGGCTTATTGACAGCTCCATGACAGAAACGTCTATCCTTGCACACAACTAAACCATCACGGCCAGAGCATATACATCAACCATAAATGTAATATACAACAAGCGATCACAGTTTGGCCCAGAGGTGGCTCATAAACCTTACCCCAGCCGGTTGGAGTGCATTACAATCGCCACTTACACACTGGCCTTCTAGCTGCTTCTAGGCATTAACCGGGTCTGAACCAACAGCCTCCAATCTGAGCTCTTTCTCATGCCTCTGCACCTTACACTGTGACTGCTGTGCTACTGCACGGCTCTAAATAAAGTGAACAGACAATGTCACTGCGCCTAGTTGCCTAGATATCATGCCCACGAACTCATTCAATATAACTAAACACAATGGACTATGTCTCTATAACACAGACCAAAACTTAGTTTATAAAACAGTCACGCTAACACGTTATCACATTCAAACCACTGCTAACTTAACTCAATCACAAAAATATACACAGTGGTCAAACACAACACTCCCAGTCCAGGTCTCAGAAACAACTCCCTGAAAACCCTTCGTTCAGTCTGTTCTGTCCTGTCTCTCTCTCTCTCTCTCTCTCTCTCTCTCTCTCTCTCTCTCTCTCTCTCTCTCTCTCTCTCTCTCTCTCTCCCCCCCCCCCCCCCCATAACTGTGAGCTCCGCCAGTATCCTGTGAATTCTAGTCTTCACTCGTCCACAACGCTATCTTAACCTGGAACTCCCGTGGGATGTTGCATGCGCAATCGCTAAGCGGTCATCCAAATATTAGTCCGTCATTCACTATCATCATCTACAGTCGTCCCATAGCCACACAGACCATTATCAACCACACACGAATACCGTTTTCATGTCTATTTATTGTATAACACAACGACAATGTTCACAGCGAGCAAACCTGAGTAAAACCGAAGTTGTTCGTTAGCCAAAAAACATGGCCCCTATGCCATGTTTGTGCGTTCGCAGGCGGAGGTTTTGTCCGTGGATCCAGTCAAAATTAGTTTGGAAATTGTTTTCATGGGCCGATTTGTTTGTGATTCGAGGTAACACTGTATGATTAATTAGTTTAAAATGTAACATGTCAATTGCTTGCATGTGATGTACTTCGAATTGTCGTATGTGTTTTATTGATTTCAGACATGGTGTCAACCACTGCATGCATTGCTGCATCTCCATCTTTTTTCCTCCTTGGATTTTTGTATGGATGATACTGGTAATTTATTTGTATTGTTGACTTTAACTTCTCTTCATCATCATGTAGCAGGTATTTTGTGCAGCCTCCACGGTGGACATCAGAGGTTGAACAGGTATGTAAGTTACAGAGAGCTGTAAAGCGTGTAAAAAAAGTGCGACAGACAGCACTAAGCTCACAGGAGTTGGAGTGCGCCGAAAGAGATAAGAAAGATAAGATAGTTTTTCAAGCCCTGTGCGGCCGACGCATAAAAAAAAAAAAAAGCACAATGGGAACATTTTATTGATGAGAGGAGCGATACGACTTTGGGAAAGTTTTGTAAGGTAGATAGGCAGATGCTCAAGAAAGATCGACACAGCGTTGTAGGAGCAATTCATAGAGATGACGGTATGTTATTACACACAAAGAGAAAAGGGAGGGTTTCTTGAAGAGGTTCATTTCACAGACAGATCACAATGATAGAGATAACAGAAATAGAGTTAGAGAAGATCTGGCTGTTATCTTAAAGAACAAACATTATGAAAACATCATACAGGTGGAAGATGTAAAACGTTTTCTGACAAGCGCGAAAAAACACTGCACCCGGGCCCGATATTCCTAAATGAAAGACATGAGAGATTCAGACCTGTTGGAGATGACTGCTTACTTCAACCAGAGCATTAGGACATCTTCAGTCCCAGAAGAGTGGATGCACAGCTACCTGATTCCACTTCCTGGCAAGAATAATTCAACACCAAGGATCATAAACCTACAAAACACCCTTGGTAAATTGCTGGAGAAGACTGTGGCGGTTAAGCTACAAGAGTTTTGGAACAAAAACATCTCCTTTAACGAGAATTGGGAGATTATCGGCCGAGGAAGGACACATGGTCAAATGCAGCTACTTTTGCCTTTGAAATCTTCGAGGGCTTTCAGAACAGACAGGAAAGGGTGGCAGCGGCACTCGATTTAGAAGACGCTTACAACAGAGTCAGATACAATATCTTGATAAAAGGGCTTATAGAGAAGGTAGTCTGTCCTAAGTTGATGAACTGGATAGCAGCTGTTTTGTATACTCATCGGGTAGCTCTCCGCCTGGGTTCATGGACATCTGAACAATGTATTTTATCTCCATGACTAGCACATGGATCTGCAATTTCACCTGTACAGTTCAATGTTTTTACGATCAAGATTGCCTACCTGGAAACACCTGAAGTTGGCAGAATATTGACATATGCAGATGATGTTCTCGTATATAGGAAAGAGAGAGAGAGAGAGAGAGAGAGAGAGAGAGAGAGAGAGAGAGAGAGAGAGAGAGAGATCGCAGTTAAATAGCTAAAGAGTTACAGGCGACAGTAGATGAGGTGATTGACTGGTGTACAGAGATGAGTGCTGTAATCAACACAGAAAAGACAACTGTCGTGTTTGTTCTTTGGACAACTGGCTTTTTTAAGCTGATGTTCCCAGATTCAAAATAAATGGCAGGGACATCAAAAGTGACAGCAGACTGCGGTACCTGGGAATCAACTTTGACATAAGTTTTTCTTTCAAGGATCACATAGAGGGGGTTTTTGTGACAAGGGCTCAAAGGGGTCTAAATGCACTAAAGATTATTGCAGCGATGGACGTGTAACAGAGAATGCTGTTTACACTTTACCAGCACCTAATCATCTCAGTAATTGATTATGGATTGGGGTTACTCACTCTCGAAGAGTCAGCTAGAGAAACTGGAGGTTATACAGAATGAATCTATGCGGCTAATCCCGGGATGTATAAGAGAATGGCATGAGAATGGAGGTGGAGGCGGTAACTGCATCTCTCAGGTCGCTAGATAACAAGATGCACACACATGTCGTAATTGTAACAGACCCTGAAAGCATGCGGAGAAAGGTGAAGACATGGATGCTTTGCGCAGAGTGGCAAGCTTCATTGGAAAGGTCACGGGTAGTGAGCATACTTTGGATCTTTTCTCAGAATATGCCGGCGTGGTGGGTACTGACCAGGCAGACAGATTGGCTGGATCTGCACCACTGGGTGGTGAATTGATGTAATGTCACAACCCTATGAGTACAGTCAGTGGCGGAACAGACTACACCGTAGGGTGTGTGTGTTGTGGTGACACCCCAGAGTTGACACAAAGGTCAGGGCCGTGACTGGTCAAGTCTGTTCTGTTATTACACGGTGAAACCAGCGCTCAGGATAAATCGCTTGGTCCCGACAAGAAAGGGTGAACCCGGTTGCAGACAAGTCCCCAACACGATTACCCCTTTTGGGACTGAGCTGGTGAACGGGTCAAAAGACACGAGGTGAAAGGAACACGGGAGATTCTGTGTACAGCGGTCAGAGAGAGCAGACGTGTTAGCGAGACAGTGATAGTATATTAGAGTTAGGATATTTCTGTTAGTGACTGCATAGATTATGTACAGTGTTCTGTTAGAATATGATAGTTTTTGTGTTGTGTATTTAACTGGTACAAGGTATTATGTTGTGCCATAAGAGGTAAATAGGTTCCAGTTACTTCTGACCAGTTAATTCGTGTAGGTACATGTTCTGTGAGAGAATGTCTAACCTTGACACTCTGACCCTGCACTAGACAGAGGCTGTGACAGTTTGGTTGGTCAGTGTGTCGATAGGTAAGAGCGTATCTCGTGCCAGTGTGGTTTGTGCACCAGGAGATTGCTTGTGGAACGGACTGGAGAACGAGGCGATTGTAAAGCTCGTTCGGCCAGAGGGTCCAAGCAATAGGTGGCCACACAGCGGGAAGTCAACTGTCTATTGTATTACCTGTACTTACAATAAAGATTGTCGTGTGTGCTCTGTGTGCGTTCGGGTTCAGTGTGTGTCAAAGGTTAGTTTGTCTGTCATAGGCCCAGTTACGAGCCACGGACCAGCAAGGTCACCCAGAGGTCTGTGACAGATATGACAGGGCAGATGTGGTCAAGGTCCTTTGGGAACAAGCAATGAAATCTGTAGAGATAGAATATTATTATGACCTGGAGAGAATGAGTCACCTGTGTGTAACCAGAGGGTCTGACCGGCTCAATTCACTCAGAAGAAAGGCAAGACGCACATATAACCGGTACCATCAGTATTAAAACTCAGCGCTGGCTGCTGAAGACGAGGACGGAGCATACACGGGAATGCCCTGAGTGGTGTGATGTTAATTTTTGACTCAGCTTAACTCAACTCAATTCCTGTACTGTAAATATGTTCCTTGTGTCGTTTTGAGAGATCATGTTTTGAGCTGTTGAGATAATGCTGTTTCTTGCTTCATTTGTCATATTCCCCTGCACTGTCATGAGTGCCTTAAATTTGTTTTTAACCTCAATGCCGTAATCACTTGGTATTTTAATTAAATCAAAACGTTTTGGCTTTTGGTTTTGGACAAAGCGAGCTGCTATTAGTCGACGATCAATACATATTCTACAATAAAAGCGAACAACTACAGGAACCCATTAGGGCACCCGACAATAGTTGTCTCAAGAACAACATGAAGGTCAACATTGGGAGGAGAAAAAACTCACATAAATCATGCATTTAAAGGGAACATCAAAATATCGACATGATAATAGACGAACATTCACTAAAACAGACGAGGAAATGCAAATATCTTGGAAGCATCTTGACATCAGATGGCAGACTAGACAAGAAGAGATATAAAACCGAACAAAAAGTATATCAGCATGCTTCACAGTATAACGAACACAAATACAACGTGAATGTTGCGGCTATGGAGCCTTTATTAGCACATACATAAATAAAACTCTACCACACAAATACCCAACAATCACTTAACTTAGTATCTCAAAGCAGCCAGGTCGTTGTCTCGTCAGTTGACTGACGAAACAAGTGGGACAGGAGAATAAATACCCCTGGGCAATTCCAGGGGCCTTAACTAAAGGGTTATAGATAAAACTGTGTGGGCAGTTCAGTCCCTAGGATTTTAGATAAAAATGTGTTTGGGCAGTTTGGTCCTCTAGATGTTAAAGTGCCCAAAGTGAAAATAAAGTGATTTTCAGGACACTTGCGGACTCTGCTGCTGGAGTTGCTAGATTTAATGGCTGTCACCTCCATGTCGTGGACACCTTGGCGATCCTGGGAACTGAAGTGTAATGGTAATGGTTTCCATTCACCGTTCTGAATATCCAAAAGATGTTGTCTGAACCTGTCAGCCAATCGTAGACTGAACAGAGCGATCGAGTCCAGAATCCAACAAGCAGTGTTACCTTTCAGGTTTTATCAACAATGAAACAACCAGCAATGCTAATGGAAACCAAACGACTAATCATAAACACAATCTTTGCACCAACATTGTTTTACCAATACCAAACCTGGCCAAACAAAAGAACAAAAGCGGAAGCTAACCACATGCGAAATAAGACTTTGAAAAAAAAAAAAAAAAAAAAGCTGTCAACATAAGGAAGAGATCACAAAAGAAACGAAGATATCAGTAGAATAGTGAGAACAACACTTGTAAATAGATTTATTGAGAAACGAAGATTGAAATGGGTTGGCCACTTGTTAGAATTAACCCAGTATCACCGGTTGCAAGAGCATATAACATGAGAATTGAATCATCAAGAGGCAGCGGAAATCCAAGTAAAACATGGATAGATAGAGTTAACAACCTGCTGAAACTCAGCATGTTTCACCATGCAGCAAGCTAACAGCTCACACTATTGCCGTGGCTGCCAGTATTAGGCAGAGAACGACAATAGAGATTCTTATATGTAAAGTGTGATCTGTAAGTATAATACCAGATTGTGACCGATACCATACGTATTGGAGCTCTGAAGATGAGGACCGAGCACGCATGGGGATGCCCTTAGTGCTGTGATGTTAATTTATGACAACTCAACTTAAATATGTAAAACTGAAATCTGCATATTTAATAACTATGTGGAATCTGTCTGTCTACTTTTGTATTTTTTCAGTGTTGCGTCCACGGATGTTAACAGATGCGACTGTCTTGATAACCAGGCTCTTCAGATGTGACAACCCTGTTGCGACGGAAGCCTTGTTAGATCTATTAAAATGATATA